TGAAACCTTGCTATTTGTCCAGATACATTTCCATAAACTTACAGGACAACCTTTTCATATTGAGATTCAATCAAGAGAATGCTGTGGGTAAAGAAATATTTTTATTGGCTGCTTTAATCTTTCAGAGGGAAACCTCTTTGGAAAGTATTCTGCATGTCTTATCACACTGAAAAGTGTATATTGGTTATGATTTGGCTTTTGGAGACATTCTACAGCATAAAATGGATGCAGGGGTTTGTACTGCAATGTTACAGATACATTCTTGATACATAAAAGTCTGATGGCCAGAGTACCAAAAGAGCCTGGCTCTTTTTTTTTTTAAATTCTTAAGTTATTTTCTTTCTTGTGATTTCTCACTGCTAGCTGTTTATACATTTCTACCAGTCACTTTCTAATGCTGCTTATCATCTATTTATGATCAAATTGCTATTAGTAAGTAGAAATGAAGTTACATTTAATTCAATTCAGAAAATGCATTCTTAATATTCCCCATATATTTACATATATCCTTGGCTTTTCATGGTTAGGAAATAATATGAATGTAGCATATGTTAGCATTTAATTATAAATTTGATACACATTAAGTATTATTTAGTGCATTGTTCTATAGACTCCTCTTGGAGTCTGTCCTAATGGATAATATACTATATTTTAACTCAACAGGGAAGCTCTCACTTGACACATTTCCCACTAACAGAAGAAAAAGGGGCCTTAGATTTTAGAACAGAAGCAGACCTAGTATGAGATGTGGAATTTTCTAATCTTAGAGACATTTGAATGAAGATTGATTACCTGACTTCAGATCTGTAAGGTTAAAACTAGACACTCAACTCACTCTCCTTGTTATCCAAATGCAGATGGTTTTTTTCTCCTGGTGTACCCAGTACTGGACTCTGACTGAGGGATCACTCTGACAGCCAGGTTAGCATACATCCCTGGTTAACTTTCTGAGGAAAACTTAGAAATCTGATAGGAATATTCATATATGAATAGTCATACGTGACTTGACTTATTCAGGGATTAATTAACCCTGTGCCCAAATATTGAATGATGAGACCTGAAGCATAAAAAAATCTAGAAAAGAGATATGAGATACAATCCAGTTAAGCAATATGTACTTCACATGTATAAATTGTTAGAAAGCTTTTGTCTGAAAGAGGAAAAGGCCCAGGTATTAAGATGATATGATTCTTTTTTGGCCTACATCCCTGGCTGTGACTATCAGATGCCAATGTTCTGAATAATGTGATATTTTTCTAGTAAAAGCTCACATTGATCATTCAAATATAATTTTCATTTTTATAGCAATACACACAAATGAAATGAGTTTTTTAAAGCTACAAACTGGCTTTATTGAAAGCCATGGCTTCTTATTGGGTTCTGTATTCCCTTGAGAGTGCTAGTTAGTGCTCCATCTCTATAATGAAAAGGAGACTTTAATGAGGCAGATATAGGTCCCTTTTTATGATATTAGGAACTAGAAATCAATTGGAAAATTTACTATTTTGTATACTAAAAATATTCTACCTAATCACCAAAAAATAAGAACATTTATAATCATCCCTAAAAATCACAGTTGAGAGTGGTTACCAAAAGGAAAACTTGAATATCCTTTTTAAATCTCTTTCAAGCAAAATTAGATTGATTTTTTTAAAAAAATCAATAAAAATATTATCTTTCTTTCTATAGCAGGACTCTTCAATAAATCAATACTCACAAAAAGAGATTCAGTGTGCACTAAGAATTCTAGATTAATACTTGAGTAAGTAAAGTCAGCATAAATGTTGAACATAACATTGATGGCCAGCGGTGACTCACAGATACTAAGCAGTCATTGGCTGAAAAGTTTATAAGGCTTTGGCTAAGAGAGCTCAACTTTGAACTTCATGTTAGAGCCATCTGGGGAGTTTTGAAATTATCTCAGTCATGGATCAGACCCCAGAGCAGTTGAGCCAGAGTATCTGGACTCAGGAATCATGACTCTCAGGGAGAGTCAGGAACCATGTCTATCCTAAGTAATCCCAATAAGTACCCAAGGGTGAACCATTGCTGCATGACCAGTGAATGGTATTTGGTCTCTAGGTGTACCAGCATTAGCCTCATGATTTCCTCCAGGCTTATATGCTACTGAAGAGAACTGAAATTTAGACCACCTGAAGTTTTAAAAAGGTCATTCTGCAAAGTCACAAAGCTGGCATCACACACTGTTTAGTGGCAGTGAGCAGGTGGGTTCTGTGTGGTCATTGAAGAAGTAAATAAAAACTACTCATGGCCACTTGAATGAAGCTGCTCTCTCAATAGACACCACCTTCTCATTTATTATCTTGTGCTTTTAATAACTGAAAATAAAAGCAAGGCATTGTCTTTAGGATAATGAAGGAGGAAGTTAAGCAATTACCTACCCGTTACAACAGGTTCCAAGTCACCTGTGAATCACAGTAAGTTGGTGAATAAGCAGTAGTTATTAAGGAACTTGGCTTCCGGACAAAACTGAGGACCCTGTAAACCAGTCATCAGTGGACAATAGAAAGAGGCTGAGCTTGTTTCTAAATGGAGGAAATATCCCTTCTATTCAAAGATAAATTCCATCTCACACATGCATAATACATTCTCAGTCCTTCTCTCTCCCCTCCCTCTCTTCCCTTCCTCTCCATCTCCTTCCTCCTGTTTATATTTAAACTGAATGGTAAGGACACATATGAAAGTCTTGTTTAAAAAGTACTTGAAAAATATTTGAATAAAGGTCACCACTGAGTTCTAATTTCTATTTTCCTTCAATAATTTATATAATATCATACTACTGAGAAAACAGAGGTAGATTTTAATAAAAGGACAAGAGAATACTGCTCCTCCACCAGCTGCAGTGATTATACCTTTGAACTTCTGCTCTATAACAACCAAACACCTATCAAAGTTATTATTCAGGGAGCATAGGTGAGCAGAGGGGTTTGTGTGGCAGAAATGGTAAACATCTGGGAATCCAGGTGCTCAGCATTTAAATTCTGTGGTGCAGAAGTGTTCCTTCATTACATGAAACTGTCACATTATTATTTTGCCTAATGATACCATCATTATCATATTCATTTGAGTGACAAAATGCCAGATTCATGCCCATCAATTTTCTGCAGTGTCTTTCCGAATCAAAGAGCCTTTCCTTTTTAAATCCATCAAATTAGCATGGTGAGCTCAAGCAGCCGAAAGTGGAATACAGCAGCTACATTCAAAGATTTTAAGCTATCTTAGTCCTTTCCTCTAGCTCATGCATTAAATTTAGTTTTGCCAAGATTTAGCCATTTAAGCTTGAATTATTCTGGGTTTAATTATGCATATCAAGACAAATATTTAAGTGTGAAAATTTCAATCTTAAGAAGCGATAAAAAAGTAAACACAATTTAGAGAGGAAGGACAAGAATAAATATTCTTATTATACCAAGCTTCTAATCTACATCATTCAAATCTCTTGGAATGAATTAAAAGAACACATTTTATTTCCATGTATTTAAAAATGATAGTTTGTCTGCAAACATATTATACTAAGTATAGTTGGTGGAGATTACAGGAAAAATAGTTAAAGGTATTGATGGGTCTCTAATAATTTAGTAAATTATTTTTAGAAAGAGAAAGCAACCCAAAAGGCAAGATATTAGGTTAGCGAGAAAGCTTAATCATTGAAGGACTTGCCTCAAAGAAGAAAGATCTGAGTTTATGCCCAGAACACATGTAATAAGTCAAATATTGTGAAACATACTTGCAATCCCAGTGCTGGGAGGTGGACATAGGCAGATCTCTGGGACCTGCTGGCTAACCAGCTTAGTTTACTTCTTAGACTTGAGGCTAATGAGAGATTCTATCCAACAAAGTGAACAGCTGAAGGACACAACACTCAGAGTCATCCTTTTGTTTTCATTTGCATACACATGCATGCATATGTGGATATACACATACATGCACCCTCACATACATGCACTCTCGCATACATACAGTAAAAACATTTTTTTTTTAGAAAGGCAAGGAATTTTTTATTGGGAATTAGGTCCTGTGTTCAAATAACCTAAGTGGCTGATCCATTTATGCCCTTGGCAGCCTACTTTATTGCCCAAAGCCTTACTTCAATGTATTCTAATTCATACCTTCTTTTTTTTTGGTGTGTGAAAATCAAAGTAATAATGTGACTTGCAGAAGTAAGTATTCAAAACATACTTAGCTATTGTTTTTAAATCAAAGAACTATTGTATATTATACTGAATTATGATATTATCATAAGGTGACTTCATTTCTACTTTTAGACTTTCAGGTAAAGGGGAAGAGTAGGCAATGGCTATATAAATTTTAGCTGACATTAGAAGATACTTTAATGGTATTCATGTTAATCCAGCCAGAACCTGTGGGGTAGCAGTTCAGCATGCTGTATTTATATGTGATGATTGATCACTAGGTTACTAGTTGCATCAATGAAACTGTACTGACTAAGTAGGATCTGCTCCATGTGAACTAAAGGTATCATCTCTCCACTCACTCACATAAGAGAAACATCTTGGGCAGTTGAGATGAGTCTCAGTCCTCCACTGGTCCCCTTGTATAGCCATGGACTTAGAAGATTATTGGTTTCATTCTTTCAGAATCTCTCCAAAGCCATCTTTTTTGTACTGCTTTCCTAGTAAGGTACCACTTGACTTCTCTTGCCTCATGTCTCTATGGTTCTCCTATTGCCTTCCTGAGTTACCATTCCTACTGCCTAGTTAAAAGATTAATTACTTTTCTAAGACAGCCTGTTGCCTTCTTTTTCTTGTCATCACTCCACAGAAGTCATCTATTTTTTTTGTCACATTATATAATGGCTGACAAAACTCTAAAAGAGTAAACCAAACCATCTTTTGAGCAGCACAGTTTTTTTTTTAACGACAATTAATTTATTGATGGATTGAGGAATACAATTTTAATGGGACAATAAGGCACAACTGTGGATTAAAACAGTTTGCTATACAGCCAAGGGGGGTATTAATCTTAGAAACTTTAAATATGTAAATCAAGAAGCCTCTGAAGTACTTCTCAAACAGATCAATATCAGACAATTCTTCCCTTTTATACAATTTGTATATTACATCATTTGATCACAAAGTCAGACAGATATTCCATACAGAACTCCCCAATTCATGTAGACTCCAGCCATCCATCCTGGCCACTACCCTGCTCCTCACTCTTCCTTTGCAGTGTTTTTGTTTGTTTGGATTTTTTTTATCCTCGGAGCTGAGGACCGAATCCAGGGCCTTGTGCTTGCTAGGCAAGCGCTCTACCACTGAGCTAAATCCCCAACCCCAGTTTGTTTGGATTTTTTAATAGCAATTTCTTTCCTAAAGAACTGTTTACACATCTTGGATAGCCTTCCAAAGCAAAGAAGCAAGCAAGCAAGCAACATCAGAGAAAGCCAGCCCAGAGCAGATTCACACAGACACAGGGGAGAAGCAGCTGATTCAATGAGCTCTAAACCAGCTGACATTAGCCTACCAGTTGAGCTGGGTCACTCAAAGACCTCTAATATCACTTCAGTTGGTGTCACTAGGGCCAGGCCCTATGCTCCTAAGAGATCCGCAATGGTCTACACAAGGAGCTAGGAAGGTCATGTGATTAGGGAGCTCATGAGACAATACATGCAATGCTTGGACCAGGATTATGAACTGACTACATGGCTTCCAGCATTAAAATTTGCCAGGTATAAAATTCATTTGGGATTTTGTGCAAAGCTTTAAGACACTGAGGACAATCTAGTTCTTTAGGACTGAGATAAGTCAGGCACTTCCATAACACTAGTCTTTCTGTTTGGAAATGTAAAGAATCTTCCAGTGTACAGAACACTGAGGCATACATAACCCATGCTGCAGGGTGAATGTGGGCAGCTCTCCAGCTCTTTAGCCTCTTCAGAAACTACAAGAAGGCCCCTACCATATTGTCAAAACAGCCACTGTATTGGTGACAATGTCCCAAAGAGAAGCAAACTGGCAAGCGTAAGACTATTTTCTGAATGTCAACACTGTACTCAGAAAAGAAGCCACATAAATACATTGAAAATAAAAAGCCAGAGGTAGAGAGATCTGGGGAAACCACCTAGGAGACACGGCTCTACAAGCCTCACCATGACCACCTTTCAAGAACAACTTGTTCATAAGCCCTGTGCTGAGAGCAGTGCAGGGGACCAAGAGAGTCACGTGCTTCCAAGAGTTGTACTGGTTGCTGAAAGGCTCCTGGATAGGCAATGTCCCAGAGACACAGCCAGGAGAAGGTAGACACAAACCACCAGACCACTCACTAGTCTGTCACATCAGAGACAGGCTTGACAGCAGAGCCCGGAGTCAAGGAGACACAGGGAATCTCAATGAAAAAGAGGGAGGCTTAAAGACCAAATGGACAGAAGGCTGGGCGACAGGGAGGTAGGAAGTAAAGGACACAAGGACACAGGACCATGACAGAGGCTCGATGAAGGGAAGGCAGCGTGGATGCAGTCTCCATCCAGTGGGAGCTTTGCTGGCTGGTTCTTGACACGAGTCCCTATCTCATTTCCGCAGACAGGATGGATGCATGGTATTCAGCAGCAAAACAGGGGAAGATGTCACTTACAAATAGAGACCTGGTGGGTGCATACTGAACAGAAAAAGACTGAGGGTACCATTCTGTAACGCCCTGTTTATACACCAAAGGCAAGTCTGTGTGGACAAGAAAGACTTCAGGTTGTCATGCAAGAGCAGTAGTATTCTGGGAAAGGGGGATGATGGGACAGGGTGGGGCTGGAGGACAGAAGGAAGTTCCAGTTCTTAAATACTAGAAAGCAAGAATAATTTGGTCCCTGTCCTTTAGTGAAGAAACCGGATGCTCATTTTCTGTTCTACATCCACCTTCTCCAAAACCTTAACAAATTCTGTAAAGGATATGGCACTATCCCCGTCCTGATCGGCCTCCTGGATGGTCCTGTCTGCGATGCTGCCCAGCTGCTCATCCGAGATATTCACTCCAACCATCATTCGTAGTACCTGTAACAGCTCATCGCGGGAGATCTTGTCATCTTTATCCAAATCATAGAGTCTGAAAGCAAAGTGCAGTTTGTTGCTTCGGCTGTTGAGTGGTTCAGGTCCATTCACATCTTTGCTCTTTTCGTTATCCTCAATGGGTCGGAAATGAGCCAAAGTTCTCATGAATCCTCGGAAGTTTACCTGGTCCTCTCCCTCTGAAAAGAAGGCATTGATGATCCGGTCCCCCAGGGGGTTGATGGCAAGTTCTGGAATCCTCTGGAAATCTTCCCGGCTGAGAGTCCCATTCTCCCCTTTGTCCAGGCTGGTGAACCGGCTGTACAGGCGCGTGATCTGACTGTGGGAAAAGCCAGTCTCCTTCTTGATCTCCTCGAGCTCTTCGTCCCGCAGTAACGTGGAGGCCCGAGACCCCATCACCGTGGCCGAGCAGCACAGTTTTAATGAATATAAAATTTCTTACTTTTTATCTAGTTACATATAATGTGTACAGCTATTCTTTTGGTTGTAGATGAATGCAAACAGATAAATCATCTAGTTTTTAAAAAAGGAAGAAAGACAGTAAGTTGATACCTATATGGGAAGGAGCAAACTGCCTGGTCCCTTAACATCATATGAGTCAACAAAGTGACATGTATGTCAATAGCATAAAAATAGAGGTATGAGTTGTCATTACTTACCTAAGATGAAATTGAAAAAAATTGCTATGTCTAAGGAAGACATTACAGTAGTAAAGAGCACGGGTAAGGTCTGATTGCTTATTCCATCTGTTCTCCATGGAGTCCTTGGGAAACTGTCACTATGGCTTCACTATGTTTTTCCCCAACTCCATACCTTCACATGCATATCTCATGTGAAAACTCAATACTCAACATCAGATAGATGTCTGGTGTTTCATTATAATAATGCACAGATATCCATTGAAAACGAAACTGGGGAAGACAATAAGGAGTCTGTGGAGAAAGAACCTTAGGTAGAGGGGAGAATGAAAGCCAAGTTCCGGGAGCAGCAACCAATGCGCTCTACTTGAAAAGCAACAGAAGAGGGGGCAAGAGAAGCAGAGCTTGAGGTACGAATAAAACTCAGGATCTACGAGCCAACTTAAATATTTTAGCTTTTCTTATTGGGAAAATAGGAAAATAATGAGTTTAAGAGTGTATCGACATGATGTGAAGGGGACTTTTAAAAACACAACCAATAACAGCCAGAACAACATGGCTCCACTGGAGCCAAAAAATCTACCACAGCAGGCCCTGGGTGCTGTAACATAGCTGAAGCTCAAGGCAAAGTCCTTAAAAAGCTTTTTTGAGTATGATAGAAGTCCTTAAAGAAGAAGTGACTCAACATTTTAAAGAAACCTATGGAAACACAAGCAGTGGATGCAAAGGAATAAAATACTTCAAGACCAGAAAGTAGAAATAGAACCATTAAAGAAAACCCAAAATAAGGAAAACCCAAAACTGGAAATAAAACATCTAAGAACAGAACACGAACCTCAGAGACCAATCTTACCAAAGAATATAAGAGATGGAAGAGGGAATCTCAGGCACTGAAGACACAACAGAAGAAATGGATGCCTTGGTCAAAGAAAATGTCAAATCTAAAACATCCTTGCACAAAACATACAGGAAATCTTGGACACTATGAAAAGACCAAATATAAGAATAATAGGAATAGAGGAAGAAGAAGAAATACAGGTCAAAGGCACAGAAAATATTTTTCAACAAAATCATAGAAGAAAATTTCCCTAACTTAAAGGAGATGCCTATCAAGGTACAAGAAGCATGCAGAACAATAAATGGACTGGACCAGAAAAGAAATTCCCATCTGTATATAATAATCAAAGCCTTAAACATTCAGAACAAATAAAGTATATTAAAAGCTGCAAGGAAAAAATGCCAAGTAATATATAAAGGCACAACTATTAGAACAATACCAATTTCTCAATGGAAATTTTAAAGACTAAAAGGGCCTGGACAGATGTTCTACAGACTCTAAGAGACCATAATTGCCAACTCAGACTACACTACCCAGAAAAACTTCCAGTTATAATAGGTAGAAAAAATAAGGTATTTCATAATACAACTAAATTTAAGCATTATCTAGCTATCAATATATCTCCACAGAAAATGCTAACATAATGAAGTTAACCACACCCAAGAAAACACAAGGAATAGATAGTCCCAGATGAGAAAATCAAAAAAGGGGAAATACACATATACACTCGCAGGCACATCACCACCACCACCACTAAAACAATAACAAAACATCAGGAATCAGCAAACACTGCTTATTGATATCTCTCAATATCAGTGGTCTTAATTCCCCAATAAAAAGGCACAGACTAATAAAATGGATATGAAAACAAGATCCATCCTTCTGCTGCCTATAAGAAATACACCTTAACATCAAGAATAGACATCATCTTAGGGTAAAAGAATGAGAAAAGTTATTCCAAGCAAATTGAGCTAAGAAGCAAGCTAGGGTAGCCATTTTAATATCTGACAAAAATAAACTTCAAACTAATCAGAAGAGAAATGGAAGGACACTACATATATAAAGGAAAAATCCACCAAGAGGACATGGCAAATCTTAACATCTATGCAGCAAACACTAGGTTCCTAAAAGAAATGCTACTGCAGCTTATATCACATATTAACCCTCATAGTGGGAGACATTAATACCCAACTTTCATGAATATACAGGTCAAACACAAACACAAAAGAAAATATCTTTTTAGCAGCTCATGGAACATTCTCCAAAATTGAACACATACTCAGATATAAAATGAGTCTTGACAGATACAAGAAAATTGAAACAACACTTTGACATACTTAAAAAAAACCTACACCCCAGAAAGTTGGAAAATCTAAAATAAATGGATAATTTTCTCGATATATGTGGAGATTAGTTGTTAAGTCAATGATAACCAAGCTATAATCTGTGGAGCCATAGAAGATATATATAGAGTAAGAGACTGAGCAGGAACAGATAGGTCTCTTTAGGAAAGAGAAATAGTATAGACAGATATGAATGAATGGGGTAGAGTGGATGGAGCAAGAAGATCAAATAGAGGATGGGAGGTGATATGGGGAGAGATACCTTAAGAGCCATTTGAGGAGTAGTGTGGAAAGTATGGAAACCTAATACAGTAGAAGCCTCCATATATATATATATATGAATAGACAAATTATGAAGGAGACAGAGCCCCAAATGGCCATCTCTTGTCACCAAAGGAAGCTTCTAGTACTGAGATTGGGTTATATCTAATGGAGTTGTTGCCAAAGGAGTCCCATAGAAACCTCCAAACAACTCCAGCTGTTGCCAGGCCTATAGGTTGCTCTCCTCAGTCTGACAGCAAGGTCCCATTGCTGAAGACAACACCTACACAACTCACTGAACAGGGAGAATTTGAGCTGGTCCCTACATAGAGCCTTTGGTACATCTTTGGTACGGGAAGATACTCTGCATGCTACAAAAAGAGAAACATGAACATCCAGCTAACCACAAACCCTTTGATCTACAATGGTGTCCTGTCTGCAAGAAATGCTAGTGTAACAGTAGCACAAAGCTTGCGGGAGTAACCAACAAATATTTTATTTGACTTAAGGCCTACTCCACCAGATGAAACCCATTCCTGAAACTGCTTACTGACTAAGAGGCTGAGAATACCTAGGGTATTCTCTGAGTTACCTAGGGTATTCTCTGAGTTACCTAGGGTAAAATCAAATACCACTGTCCCCCAACCAAAAAAAAAAAAAAAAACGGTAGCAATAAAATGACTCCTAATGACGTTTTTCTATACTGATCAATTAGTGCCTTGCTTAGCCATCATCAGAGAAGCTTATTCCTGCAGCAAATGGGAACAAATACAGAGACCCACAGCCAGATATTATGTAGAAAGTGAGAGACCTTTGAAAACTCAGCCCTAGATATGATGTCTCCATCAAATCCCTCCCCTCAAGGACCCCTCTGGACCCCCAAGAAGAGGAGGCAGAAAAAGTGTAAGAGCCAGAGGGGATGAACCACATCAAGGAATTAAAGTCCTATAAATCAACATGATTGCCACACACGTGTACTCACAAAGACTGAGGCAGAATGAGCCGGGTCTGCAAGGGTCTGCACCAGATGGGGTCTTAGAGCTGAAAGGAGAAGCTAACACATGCCTCCATCCCTAACCCAGAAGCAATCTTCATTGATAAGCTCTTGCAAAAGAAAATTTAGTTACCTCCAACGGAGTCTCACTGGGAAAATAAACTACTCTTAAGGGTAGGCTGCATGCTGTGCAATAGATGGCCAACAGAAAACAAACTCAATGTTGTCTTTGGAGATTCTTTGCCTCATAATGTGTCAGGGCTTTCCTTTTCTTTTACTCTTATTATTTAAATTTAAACTTATTTTTATTTATAAATTTTTTATTCTCTCTCTCTTTTTTAACCATACAGGTCTTTGTGTGCATATTATGGCTTCCTGTTCAGAGTTTTTATTGGGTTCTTGAGGGTTCAAACAATAGATTCTCTGTTTCTTGTGCTTTCTTTTGGGCTCCTTTTCTTCTGTTTGTTTCCCCAAATTCTTACATGTTATTTTTTATTTATCTTATTATATTATTTATTTTACATTATTATTATGCCATAGAAACCTGTTTTCTAATGACATACAAAAAGGAGGTGGGTCTCGATGGGAGAGGAGGTTGGAAGGAACTAGGAGGAGCAGAATAAGAGGAAACCATAATCAGGATTTATTATGTGAGAAAAAAAAAATGATCTATTGTCAATAAAAGGGAGAAAACATTCTGAATGGAAGAGTCTGAATGGAGATGAGTAGTGGCCAGGACGGGAGCAGAAAAATTTTTACCAAGTGACTTCAGATATCTGATTAAGTGGAAGGTGGCAGGGCACAGCATGAAGGAAGGCTGTGAAAGCAGTGAGATGTGGTCAGACTCTCGACAGAGTTTAAATACAGAACTGGCAGGATGAGCTGGTAGCGCTGTTGGTGACAGGTTTCAAGTCATTGCTTTCTCCCCCAGGTCCCTGTTTCATTTCACCTTCCCAACAAGCCTGAGGCGTGATTGTTGAGATACTTGTTGTGGGCACAAGCTCTCCATCCTCAACAGACCAGCAGAGCATTGAAACTTGTTCTTCCCAGCTGCCTTTGCTACGGGAGGTTTTCTCTCTAAGTCTTCCTTTCACCTCATGACATATTCTCAATATCAGAACAAACACAGTGGTTCGTTTCCCAGAGTCTTTCTAGTATGTTATCTATATCCCACTAGGCTTTGCGAAATTTCCCAGAATTCTTATAGAGGGTCTGCATAGTGAGTACACTGGGAAGAAAAGTCAAATTGCTCTGAGCAATCACCCCCTATTTCACTGATGGATCATTTCTATAGCTTCCTCTCTGGTTCCACTCTCCAACTCCATCCATC